TAGTTTTTTGTTTTTTATGTTGTATAGTTATATATAGTAGTTTTCTTTATTTTCTATGTTTTCAACTCAATTTCTAACATTATTCTGTCTGGGATAATTGGAAAATGCACAAACAAAACAAGAAATATTTTTGGGGAAAATAAATTTTTATTTATGGGAAATTATTTATAAATATTTTTCTATAATGCCGTGCCTTTCATGAGTGTTGAATAGGGTACTCTGCAGCACGGTGGTGCTAACATGTTTACACAATCATGGTACCATGATAGGAATACACATAGTCTGTATTTATTAATGAAAAGGAGATTTGTCAGTACTGTGCACCTGCCGTAAGTGCCTCTTATATTTTGTCTCTGCTTCAGTGCATATGTCAATGAAACTTATTTACATATAGACAAAGTATTTTGACTGTTTACAGACGGTATGTATTTGCTGAATGTCTGAACCCTGTTCTATATAAATAATACTAAATAAACTTTTGAGAACTACATGTGTGCTCAGGATCATAACACATTCATCTAGATAGATACGTGCTGGATAATTATTTGACTGATGTTGCTATGAAAACACAATCATTTTAAAAGTAATTCTGTATTAGCATCAAAATATGAATAGGAAAGGTCAAAGTAACATGTAAGAAGCCACAATGACAATAGCTCCATGTATTCCTGCTACCTATATTGCGTCATGTATTTCAAATTGCCACATTTCATCTCTGGTCAGCTTCTCGCCAAGAAGCATGTTTAAACAGTCCCTTTTCATTAGCAGGCCAATTTTAGCTTGTGATCATTTTATTTTAGCTCATTGATCATTTCAGACAGCATAAGATAATGGTGCTGACACAGAGCCCAGCCAGTCTTGATTGCTTGACCCTCTTCATTTGCAACAAGAAAATCATTGTGGCTACAAAGTTGCTTTGTGCCATCACATGACCCTCTTCCCCTGAAGATAGACCGTAAACCACTGGTGATGTCAACACCCAACATCTTCTGTGGGTTTTGATAATGTATGTTTACAGAGCGGTGACCTCCTGGGCCTTGTGATGCATCAATGTGACACAGAAAGTAACGCCCGATTCCACCGCATGCTGTTTGAGGTTGACCTCTGACAAGAGCCAAAAGGGAAAAAAATGGGACATCAATAGGACAATGTTTGGATGTTTTAACACCACTGGGAGGTTGTCCAGTATACATAGCCTGCACATATGAGCATCATCATAAGTAATATATCACAAAAGATCTCTGTGCGAAGTGGTTTGAAAATGTATGTTTGAGTAATATTTTTGATTCCACAGCACTGAATCATGTCTTGACAGTTGGCACTTCATAGTCAGTAGAATTATTATGTGTTTTTTTTTGTTTTTTTGGCGTTATTTATCTATATCATGCATGAAGAATTTCAGAAAGATGAGAGATCACAGAGAGCTGGCAGTTGCACAGAAAACAGTCAACAAAAATATCTTTGCTTTTTAAAGTATTAGTTACTCTGGTACAAGCATTTGTGTGTTGAGATGAGTTTTACTGGGTGTTTACACTCTCAGTTATCATAGTCTGAACTTAATTAACCATCTCAACCTATTACATGAACTATTCAAAGAAATACTGTTTTCATAACGTTAAAGCAGACTATACACATCGGGTTTTTGTGTCCTATTGTCCAAACACACAAAAGGATTACATCTGGATTGCTATCAAGGAAACACTAATTGATTTTCAAGGATGACAAATGACATACAAAGCCCCAGTGCCAAGGTAATTTTGAGCAAGCGATGAAAATGTACAGTGGGGCTGTCCCAAGGTTCATAGTTCTTTTCATACTCATCCCTCACATGTGCATTCGAGGCCACTTGACATAAATTTATACTGATCTTTTATTTATACCCAGAAAAAATGGCAGATAAGAAACATAAGTGTTCTTGATATTGTGTTTTGTCATATCTAGCAGCCAAAGATTGAAATCCTGCGAAACAATTTTCTGAAGAAATGAAAGAGCGTGCCCTCTTGAACCCCGAAGGAAAATAACCCCACGGTGCGAGGCAGAATATGAAACAGAGGCACAGAATAAGTAAAATAGACAAGTGCACCAGGCTTGTCACTTTTCCATTTGCTGCCCTCGGGTGTGAGCACTTCAGAATTCTCTTCATCTCAGCAAAGACCTTCATCGTTATGCTCTATCTACTGTACTGAATACGAAAAATGTACCATATCAGACAAAAGTAATAAGGAAGGGAGTTTTAAAGATTTACCATGTTTCTGTCGATCATGAAGCTGGATGCAACAGGAAGACCAACAAATTCATAAATATACAGCACAAGCAATTGTACAATGGAGACGATGTGGAAAATGCTGAGATGAGTGTCACAGAAGACGTTAACATGGCTGTGATATCAGATATCACCATTGGCTCTTGACAACAGCATCATTACACAGTAATAAGAGCACAATCTCCTTCAGAGAAACATTAAAATCAAATTACATTATACAAGAGCTTGGCTTGATGAGCTGTGAGGGGTGATGGTTCCCGAACAGTGGCTCTGTGGTTATTACTGTAGCTCTTTAGCTGCTTGGGCTTGAATTGCCACTTGACAAAGTTCAGTCGCTTCTCACAAAAGGTCATCAGCTTCCAAGAAATTAGTTTTTAAAATTCAAGTCATTTGAAACCTACACGCCCAGATGGATGGGTTTCCATTTTTTTCTCCCCCCCCCCCCACGTTCTATCTGTCAAATCATGAATGCACGCCGCTGAATACATGATGCCGGCAATAAACCACTGTGCTGTAGTTTACACCAGAGTGACATTCAGGGATCAGAGAGCATTGTCATTCTCTGTCCTATCTTGAACTCATTACGCCACTGAGCGATGACATCTGTTTGAGCACTCACACAGTTTGACAATTATTACTGCAAACCATTCACGGCTGTACCTTAATTAAATACTAAAGTAGAAAAGAAAGACAACATATATAACATGAAAATATCTGTTTCATTATAGTATTTAAAACTGCCTAACTTAAAATAGAGAAGCTACGTCCAAGACAGGGATATCATTTATTTGGCTGTTTGCACTTTTAATGTTTCTGTGCATACATAATTCTTGTGCTTGACAACTGATATATTGATTAATTTTATTTAGGATAGAACATGCCCTCGGAATCAATAGCATAAAAACAAGGTTAACCTAAATTTACAAGTCCTGTCATATGCAGGATAATAATTCAATTATAGAGGAGAGTCAAAGCACCAAAATGACTTCTTTCTCTTTGTTTTCTTGCTGTTTTACTAACGCATACACATTTCTGTGGGAGGGATGCTCAAGAAACCACCAAAAGCAGAATAGGGAAGAGAACAAATGGAAGGCCATGACAACACACCCCTGCCACTACCTCATGTGGAAATCATACAAAGCATCCTGCAGGCAGCAGGTTCATTTTATAGCTTCATCTATTACCACACTGTCATTGTTAATTGTCTTCTTTTTACCTCTGCAGGATTCTCCAAATTGGTCCTATCGAATGTGACAGGAGGAAGAGCATTAAGCATCTGACAAGATGATATCTAAGTTCAATTTCCTACTCCTCACCTGATTTATACCTGCAGCAGATCATTTTCTTTTCTGTCATAAAGACCTCTATAAATCAGTGGTGCTTATGGAAGCACTACAGAACAGGGTCTCTGGATTTGTATCCCCTGTGTTTGCTATTAGGAAGCCATTACAGCCACATTTTCCTCCTTCAAACAAAAATGATCAAATCTAATACTGGCAAGATTAGAGAGATAAAGAGAGCAAGCGCTGGCAGAGCTGTTCAACACAGTACCCTATCTAAACAATATGCTCTAAACTCAATAAAAACAGGGCTTTTTGCTGGTGACACCATTATCCATCTGTTTGGACAAAATTGCTGTATCATGGTATAAATCTGCAATACAAGTGACATATCCTCTAAAATAAAAGGGAACATTAACTGCTCTATCTTCTAGAGGCCATGGGACTAGCTGGCTATAAGCTCAGTCAAGTGTGATGGCAGTTATACTGTGTTTTACTAGACTGCAGACAATTATACTTTGCTCCTCTCCCCTAAGAAGACAAACTGCCATGGCTTCAGCTGAAATGATTTCAAATAGATTTTCCAAAATGTCTGTCGCCAGATTGCTTCCATACATTATTTCACTTAAATGGATAGAAAAAACGAGGGTGCAAATCCACAAATCAATCACAACAGCCCACTTTACCAGATGGAAAGACGAGAGCTTTCAGTCTGTCTGTGTGTGTGTGTGTATGTGTGCGTGCGCATGCAAGTTGAAGACCTGCAGAGAAGGACAGTTACAGGATGTGCACAGTTCTGTCTCTGCGATGTGTCTCACTCATCTTGAAGGATGACAGAGAGTAGGCCCATCTATGTTCAGCGGTGAGCTGGCAGCGCTGTAAAAGTGGCATAATGGATAATGAACTGACCCACTGACTTCTGGCTAGTTCAACAACTAGTTCATTCAACCAATCATGTGTAATCCATTAAGGAATGAGGAAATACAATTATTTTACACATGACAGATAACACACACTGCTCTCATAAAAGGCAGTCTGTAAACACTCAGTCTGTTCCCAGAGTTGAATACTATTGCTGAAAATGGTGCATACTAATATTGTTTTGTAATGTTAAGTGTTGCAGGTGGAAATATGAATGGGCTAAAAAATTGTAAATACTATAAATATACAGTATATATCTAATGTGTGTGTGTATCTTTATATAACCTACTTGATAGACTTATCAGAATATGTTGAACACTGACCAGCATCTACCTCAACATCTAGTTCAACATACTTTACATGTAGGCCTATTCATGTATTTGTCTGCCGGCTGCTTCAACTGCGTGGAGACACCATACAGTCTATGGTGGAGACGAACGTCGCAACGTTTACATCAGCCAATAGGAACGCTGGATTTCTGCCTGATCTACACCCAATCAGGACACGACTTTCTCCGTAAACGCCAAAACACCATCCTGCAAATAATGCTAACGTGATTAGCTGAGGTGTCTTTAATCTAGCTAACAAGTAAAAACATTGACAGCTAAGTATGTGGCGCGGGTAAAGAGAGAGTATTAAATTAAATGTGCAGATAAACAACTGTGTTTTAAAATTAGCTTATGAGAAATTACTAACGCTAACTAACTTAGCTCAAATTATGGAGCAGAGGTGCTGCAGTGCTTTTCACCTGGAAACAACTTAAGAGGTAACCTAAGTTAATTTAATTGAACTTAATTTGAGCTGTACATATTGTGGGTGAATTTATCCTTTACATTTTTTACTTACTTATTTTTTACTACATCTTTTCTAAGCATAGAAGCAGTGGGCAGGCATGGCAAGGTGCCAGGAGACCAACCCCAGTTCTGAGGCCAGTACATTAACGTTACCAAGGACAATGGCAGAAGTAAGTGATTAAACCCAGATTTGTCAAAGCAACTTTGTGATTGTTACTGAAGTTATCACCATGGGTTTATGCAGAAGTTTCTAGCCATCGTTGGCCAACACATGTTGCCTGTGGTCGAGTAAACCAGTGGTTCTCAAAGTGTGATCTTAGGTGGTTACAGGAAGTCCCAAAAAGGGGAAAATTTTATTTTCACTATAATTCCAATCATAATGACCCTTTTACTCTGCTTCGATCTTCCAGTCTATAAACGTCTCATCCATATGTTTATGGTGTATTGCATGCTAGGCTTCTGACGCTGCCGTCGCTCTGTCTCTTGCTCCTTCTGATTCCTCCCTTGCTCCTCTCCACTGGAGGAACCTCCCGAGGCTGTCTCCACTCTCTGCCCAGTCTTGCGTTTGGCACCGCGGCTACCTGAAGGGGCTGAACTGTCCTCCTTCTCTGTCTCCACACTGTCACTCTCCCCCTTTGCCTGTGTGCTGTCTCCGTCCTCTATTTCATCCTCTTCCTCCTTGTCATCATCAACATCAACTTAAATATTGCTGTCTAACCTGTTGAAAGTATGGTATCTGAGTGCTACAATGCTAGTGTGATGTGAAAAAATGGATGAATATGTTGAATGTATGAATTTGTGCTTTGTCAGGTCCGTTGACAAGATGACAAACAAACAACTTAATATTTGTTTTCTAAACGGTTTGGATTGATCAGGGCTATACTATGCTACCTTGTTTCAGAGTAAAAAGTAACTCACTAGCAATCTCCTTTTTTGTTCTGTCCCTGTAGAAATATGAAGTAGTATTTTGCTAGATTTTTGGATGCCCACAGACGGCTACAATAATGACAGTGGAAGTCAGCAACTCAGTGGCTCTCTGCTGCAGACAGATTGAAAAGTGAGAGTAAAGATAAAATCTGCTTTTCATTCCAAAAGTAAAAAAAAAAAAATTAGTCTGAGCTCGCGCCGGTAAATTACAGAATCCCGTGCGAGATGTAATCCTTTTGAGTGGCCGTTTTATTTGTCCAGAAGCTCCGCCGCCAGTGTTATCGTTGCATAGTTTGTCTACCACACCAGCTCCCTCTGTTCAACCCAAACTCACGGACTAACCAGTCAGAGAACCAATGCCTGGTTATACATTTTTAACTAAGAATTGTGCCTTACCTTTGCTAGCCTTCATCTCAACTACCAGTCATGCTTTGAATGCTAATATTAATGTTACTGTTACCTGTATACCTGTTTCAGGTCTGCTCCGTGGACTGGATGTCAGACGCTGAAGCCTTGCTGTCACGCTGTTATGGTAGGATAGTATTGTTTTATAGTAGACTTTGGACACATTCTGTCTTTTTCTCTGGCCTGTTTCTACTTCATCCTTCGCTATTTTCTCTCTCTTCGTCCATTTTGTCATATCGTCTTCACTTGTCCCCAGCGTAAGCACGTTGTGCAACAGTAATAATCGCCAGTGCGCAACAGTGTGCTGTAGTTATATAGATTTAACGAAGCATTAAATCAAATTCTTTTCAGCAATGCTTTTTAGTAATCGAGTTACTTGAGTTTCTCAATTAATCGTTTCAGCCCTACTTGAGACTATACAGTATGTTCTTTTCTGTTGTGAAGAGATGCTTTGCAAGTGGTCTACGGTATCTGACAAACCATAATTAAATGGACATTTGGCTTAATTTGCTTTGACTGCAAATTGTGCCAGCATAAATTTTCACAGATCAATGTTTTTCCCTGGTTCAGAATGGGCCTTTGGGGGGTGACTTCGCTTGATCTGTATGCGTACAGTAAAGGCAATGAGTTAACTTATGACCGAATTCTTTGCATTTTCTAGTTATTTCTGACCATTTGATAAACAAAATAAATCCACAAGCTGGCGGAGTAACAAGCATAAATTTGTGTATTAATAAATATTATAACATTAAATAAAAAGTCTAATGTTAGTATAATACTAAGATATATATAGTGCCCAGAGAACCTGATGTGGAGAGGACAGGGAAGAGTACTGGCAGCTTGGTAGCAGTCTGAGTCAAATGTATAATGCAACTGCAAAACTGTCTGCTTCTTTCTGAGATCGCTTTTTCCAACAAATTTGTTAATTTCTCAACAACAGTTTGTCGGACTTAGCAACAATAACTAAGGGGGGCGGGAAGTCTGTCTAACATCGATTGTATATAAGAAGGGAAGCAAGCCTGATGTAAGACATAAGTAAGTTAGCTTACAATGTTAACTGCCCTGTCAGATACAGTAATGTTCAGAACAGTAAATAACTTTGCGCCTCTATAACGAGAGACAGGTGCGTCAGAGGGGGACAGGAGAGTCAAAGGTAGCAAAGAAAAAAATATACAGTAATTTTATAACTTTGCCCGCTGTTATTAACCAATAATATCAGCTAAGCTAATTGTTCATTTATGGAGACCAGAGGCAGCACAGTAGGCTAGATTTAAGGTAGGCTAAAGTCAGCAGGATAAAAAAGTATCTGCAGCGGTGTTGTTAGACTGTATAGATATATTGTTAAAAATATTCTGATTAGCATGCAACAAGAAATGTGTAAATAACAAATGAAAGTGCTTTGATAAAAGTTAATGTGCACTTATTTATTTATTTAACTTAAGTTAAAAAAAATCACACTACTAATTATAAAATGACCCCAAAACGTGCACACACCAGTCAGTAACTTTAACAACTTCTTGACACAGTTTCTTTTTGGTCAAGTTTTCCATTCTCTTATATTTTTAGATTTTCAATTGTCACCTGCCACCTGAATTTCCCTTTTACATAAATAAAATCATTTCCACCATAAATTATTGCAGGAAAGGAAATTGTTGCAGAAAATTTCACCAGAATGCAGGAAATTAAGTGTTTAATGATCAAAATTTTCTGAGGGAAGACCCCCAGACCCCCCAAGTCATATATTTCATCATTTGATTGTTTTCTATAAGTAATGCTAAAATATCTTCTTGTCTTGTTCTCGTGAGACCAATATCATGTATCATCTCCTTTCGTGAGCTCAGTATATCGTCACACCCCTAATCTGAGCCATTATGTCCCCACCGCTTTTCAACACAAAGTGATGCCCTTGCGTGCCCGTATCTTTCTCTTGTTGCAGTACACAATTGCAAGTTATCTATACAAACATGTAAGCTAAACAGACCCCTCTGACACCCTCTCTGTGTGTTTATCTGCTTGCGTATCTTTCTCACCTTTTTTACCCCTGACCGGTTTGCATACCTGGTATCATATGAAACAAAGCTCATAAAGTCATGTTGAGTAGCTACATCAGAATATATAGTTACTATATGACATGTCTGACTCTATGACAATGAATCTTAACTTCTGTGCAGAATCCTCACTGCAGGAAAATTTGACAGAAACAGAGGATGTGACATAACAGTTTTGGAGAGAGTTTATAAAATGAAGAAAAAAAAAGAATTTTATTTTATTTTATTTTCACGAGATGGTTTCTACTTCAAAGTTGCTAAAGTCAGTTAGATTGACATCCGTTGTTTCACACACTTCATTTCATTTTACATAATTTACTATGTAATGTGTACTTTTTAATATTGTAGGTTGGACTTGAGACAAAGGACCTGATCAAGGCATTCTGGCATAGACTCCAGCAGCCTGTGACCCTGGAAAAAAAAGCATGTGTGCAGAAAATGAATGAAACAATAACAAAATTCCCAAAGGACGTGTTGCCAATCCAGTGTTGTGTGCAGTGTGCTGCTGTTCTATACAAAACTGAGAAAACAGGTTTTGAATAAACCAATATACACACAGAGGCACGCCCAAATTGCACACACTAAATAGTCCTAAGTCTGTATCGAAACTGTTCAGACAGGCATATTTCTCAATATCAATGACATGTAACCTGACACAAGCTGTATAATACATGGGCACATGCCATGTATTCACAACAAGTAACTTTGCACTTAATTAAAATACCTGCACGAGTTCTGTATTGTCTTTCAACCCATAAGGAAGCAGTCACACACATTAAGACACTGCTGCAATTCAGCATTATAGTCATGCACATTTATTACGTTTACTCTGGATGACTCAAACAGCCATGCATGACTCAATCCATCTCTGTTTTGTGCAGATACAGTTGTGTGTGAGATGAATATATGCAAAAAACAGCCACAAATGTGCAGAAAAAAATCTGCTGAATTGAAACAACAGATAGATTAAAGAACTGCTTCGCTGATTTCTATTTTCTAAGTGAAAGAATTACAACCTCTCATGGTTCTTTATCATCATTTTGACTTTCTTTGTGTGTCTTCCATAATGTGTCTATTTTATTGTAATGTCTGCATGAAGATGTACAATAATCTACCTTCATTATAACCAATCTGTGTTTGACCCATGGTGAGTGCAAAAATAACTGAAATGATCTGTGAAAAGAATTAGGTTAATTAGGTTAACACACAGCACAATTACCGTGATGTGAAGAGTCAAGCCATTTTATATACATAAATCCAAATTGCAGTGATGGAGAAAAAATGTCAAATATTTTGATGATTTGTAATGTGATAATGCTTTAAAAAAAAAAAGTCATCAACAATTTGCAAATCACAATACATTGGGTTTTTTCTGTGTACATATTACTCCACAGACAACATATCCTTACTTCCAGAACTGAATCAGTATTAGTGTAGAATAATTATACTTTCCCCCCTTAAAAGATAGTCATTTGCCATCAAGTCACCCACTCTCCGTAAACCCTCCTGAAGGAGTACCGCAGAATCACAGCTGACTTTTAAATCCTTTTCTTACGACCTACAGTATCTTTACAGACATGCAGCTATCTTTCTGCCAGGGTTCCTGTGTCTCCTGCTGTTGTCTCCTTTTCTTGTTTGACCCAGTTTTAAAAAAACTGCTTAAAACAGTTAACACGGAAATCTCAAAAATTATTAATTAATGATAGATTTAACTACAGCAAAACATCACATCACAAACATTTTGCGAATGTGGAATGATGAGGAATAGTTGTAAGTGCAGTGATTATATATTGAGGTAATAAGCGAGCAAGAATGATGTACATTCCCTTTATTTTACTTATTTAACAAACAAACCTTTATTTTTAAGCAAGAATTGCAGTGTCATTGATCATGGAAAAATCAGTTTTGATTAACAAAACCCAAACCTCAGACTTAGATTTCCAAGCTCACAATTTATTGAAATGTTATACTTGACTTCAGACTAACATAAAGACTATTGCTTCAGTTCTTGTTATAAACTGGTAATAATAAATGTCTAGTCTTTATGTATTTCCTTTGCTTCATCCTGATGGCAACAAATATAACTTTGTAATGTTCATAGACTGGTTGTGATACACATTTCTGGTCTGGTAAACTACGCAGCTGACAGACATGATTGTAGATTTAATTCTGAAACTGTGTGGCAGTTCTAGTGAATGGCCCTATCATTTCTTGCTAGTTCATCACTTCTAAATATTCTCTAACATCACTTACAGCAGCTAACGCTGCTCGTTGCTAAATTAGCCACAAAGCTAATGCCATGTTTATCAGTGGAAGACCGCTTAAAGAGCACTTATACTATAGTATTCGCATTCTAAAATATATCTGCGAGCACTTGTCTGTAGTTACAGTCGGCGTGTCGGAAATGATTAAACCACAGCAGACATGTAAATAAATGTGAGCTGAACAAGAGTATAACATGGCTTCCTGCCAGACAAAGTTATCTAACATTAGCTCCTTTTTCAAATGTGAAATGTATAGTTGCGAGTACTGGCTGTAGACAGTCATGTAGTATTAGATGCATTCAACAGCAGGTCACTGTATCGTAAACGGCATGTTTTAGAGCCAGATGGTTGAGAAGTGGTTTCTCGAGTGCTGGTAAAGAGATAAACTAGATGTGAATATGCTACAAATAAACATGCTTATTCTCTCTCTGTTTACATATGGCTGAAAAAGTTGCACCTTCTAGCAGTAAATATTTATTGATGTGTTTTGTTTACATGTTCAGTTGTTGAGACTGTAATCTATTTTGTTAACATAATCCATTTAGGAAAAGGTATAGCCACATACAGAACAGCTTTCAATATTGGCCTGCTCTAAGTGGAGTTTATACTGTCCAAATAATTTTCAAAGTCAAAATATCGGCTCATAAATTAGCTAATTTTCACTTTAATATCAGCATTGTTATCGGCCCCCAAAAACCCATATCGGTCGGGCTCTAGTAGTCTAATAGTTTTGTTAATGTATGGATCAATGTAATTTCTACTCAAATTTGTATACTTTGTGTCACTAATTCACATTAAATTCATCACTAAGCTTGGACTGTAGCTTTATGATTGAACAGCAACTCTGAACAAGTACAGTAGCAGCCACCCGTTGCACTGTTTTAACCTTGAAGGATACATTGCTTCAGAAACCATAGAAATGGCAATAGTGATTGTGCCCTTGATGTTTTAAAGTGTGATGTTCATCATAAAAAAGAGTTTCTTACCCACAAATGCACTCTGGGCCCTTTTGCAGTCTAAGAAAAATCAAAAAACAAAACCAAAAACATCCGCAAGGATAGAGGGGGGCAGCACAGAGCGTAGAAGATGACACTTCAAAACAGCATTCAACAAACTTAAATACAGTTTTCAGTGTTTATTACATCGCCAACAGTATGACAGCCCCTGGACAACATTCATGAAAGTAATTATCTCAATAAAGCCTAGGTACAAAAACAATCCAGTGCCTCTTCTTCGTGGACATTTGCCTCTTGGCACTACTGTGCTGAGACAATGCGCAAGATAGTTCTTTACAGGAATATTCCCCGTTGCCAACCATAATTAATTGCTTTACAGTCTTCGAGGCCATAATGCTCATCAGTTATTAATTAGAAATTCATTTCACTGAATAAATAATGCTCATGATTGATGATGAAACTTGTAATTAGGTTCTTGGAGTAATGCACAGGGGAGAAAGCCTTTACATTTGAATCCAGGCTATTAAATACTGCTCATTTAAGGGACCGCTATACCTCTTGTCATAAACCCGGGCTGCCATGGTAGAATCTGGATTCAGGAAGCAGGAACATAAGTTGTTATACATATAGGTGATGTTAGACTACCTGCCCCAACAACAGCTCGTGATCCTTAATGCCACTGAGCTCTTTTGTTCTATAAAATGAACCATTCATTCCCAAAGCGTAAGATTCAAAACAGCAGCCCACAGTGTTTTCACCAAAGGCAAAACAGATTAGGTTTTTACTAATCTGTTGCCTTTCAAACATATAGTGCGGTTGCTATGTTACAAAGACCTCATGGGCCCTTCCAGGCATCATATAGCCTACAGTCTTTTTAAATGACAAGAGAGAACTGTGAAAACTCCAGCCATCTATGGCTCACTATTGATTTTACACAGAAGACCCAACCATTGTTGATAGCCTGTTTGATATATTTTCTTTCAACCACCAGTCCCTTTGGAGTTTTGTGGAAAATAAACCAGTCAATATACACCTATTAGGATTTCTTGATCTGAGCTCATAAACCTATGGTGCAGAGTGTTTCAGATGCTCATTGCATCATAATAGCAGAGAGACCAAAAGCTATTACTTTTGGAGGATGAATGATCAACAATTTAATGGCTTTCTGTAATATTGTGCTTTCAGGCCAATTAACATGACTGACCAGCACTAGAGAGGAAGGTGCACCATGATGCCCCTCAACAAAAAGACTGAAGAAAACAGCAGCTGATGACGGTGTAGCCTCATCAAGCAAGAATACTAGTGCGGGTCCTTTTCACCTGTCATCACGGGTGAGAATGAGCAGTGATAATACCCTCACTCTGCCCCCCCTTTTGCTAACCAGTATCTGCCCTATTAGCAATTTATAATGGAGATCAAGAAGTAGTCTATGGAGAATGAAGACAACTGTCTGCTCCCCTTCCTAATTGGCTTTATGTTCTCTTTCTGATAAATGGCTCACAACTACTATAAAGTCCTGTGGATTTTATTGCCCTAATAGGACTCAGTAACTGGATTTACTAACAGATAGCGGGTCAAAAAGGACATAGAGAGCAAAAATGTTAATTAATATCAATAATGGCCAATTATTAGTTTGACAGAGGGATCCAAGCTAGCTGTGTGCTCTAATGACTCTGAGCTAACTTGAAGGGAAACACTGGCAAATTAGCATAACTGTGTATGCGCACTCCATGGAGGTGCCCAGCAAACATCTGTTATGTTAGAAATTCAAATAGAATTCCTATTAGTAACCCTGGCTGTGGTTGCATAATCAGTCATTCTTCTCTGGCCATTTTTGAGGCACTAACAATGCCCCTGTGACTGGTGGAACTCCTCCCTCTGGGCTTTCCAATCAAATTTGGCCCCATGTGGACCAGGTCCTAACAACAGACGAGGCAATGTGGACTTATAAGGGGAGCTTTGTGCTCTGACAGGAGCTCAATCTATCCACCCATGACACACGACTGAAGAAAGGAAAACTGTTATTTATTTGAATACAGCCGATACTAGTTAAGGAATTAATGTTGAAATATAGTTTTCTGACCTGCTGGGATGCAGCTACTTATTTGTACCCACATGCAAAGTGTTTTTGGAGGCATTTTGTTTTTTATGCAGTTGTTTGCAAGTTGTACTTAAGCCATGAATTCTACATCAGTACTGAATGAATATATAATATTAAAGAAGATGGTAAACGGGTTTATTAATTCTGAGGTTATCTGAAGACAGCAGCTGCTGTAGGATATTGAAAACAGAAAATATTCTGCTAAGGAATTGATTTTCTATTTGGAGCAAGTAATGTAAGCTCTCTGTACCTTATGGGAATTACTGCATACCACTGTATGGACGCTAGCGGGCATCTCACATTTGTTGTTGAAGAAGCACTTTCTTAGTAATCAATGGCTGCTGTTATTCAGAATAAATGCACTCAAAGACAAAAAATATGAGCATCAAAGGTCTTTCCTTGATATTTGTATGCAATGACACAAAATCCCACCCCTACACTCTACACAGATATGCGGGAAAATGATGGGATAACAAAGGCTGGACATTTTCATGGGCTATATTCTTCAGTCTGCAGCCTCAACAATACAATTCAATAGCATTGTTAGGTTTGTGAACATTATTAACACATCTAAAACATATTTTCATTGTTATGTTCCGGGAAATACAGTGTGCACACTTTTTAACGCGACATGTATCATTGCAAGATGTAAATTACTCAACTTCCCTTTTCCCCCCCAGGAAATAATAATTACTTAAAAACACCTTAGATTAGTTTTTTCTAGTGACTTCAGCTCAAGTCAGTTGTGTATCTTGGTTTACCCTACTGTGCTGTAGTTTGTCTGCTTCTCGTTAATGCGCTCCTATATTTCAGTGTGAGCTAATGCTACCCAAAATGTATGGGTTGTATTGTTTTTTGTTTTTTTGTCTTTGTCAGCCACTGTGGCAGCTGCATGTGTGAGAAAATTACTTATAATTTCATGTGTAAACACTTGCTGTATATTGTTGGGATATTTCCATCTAACCTGAAATTCCCAGCCTGCTTGACAAGTGTCAGAAACGTATATTGTGCTCAGTTTAATGTCACTGCATTATTTCTTAAAGTGATATTACCCCACCCTATCTGCAAAATAGTGTGAGACTGCTGTCGACTTACAACTCGGTGTGACCTTCTCTGTTATAATCTGAGCATGTAATTCCCTCTAGTGTAATGTCATGTTTGATCAGAGGAGCTACTAGTGTCCTGATCTCAGCCGTGCACAGCAGGAGGTGTGGTGAGTCAAATGGACAACCAGAGGTTCCCCTTAAGGGCAAAATTGATGTTGTCTGCATATTCTTCCCTCACTGCGGTTGGCTTTGTTGGAGGATTTAGTATTTTAGATTCTGAAGCCAGTGTAGTATTTGAAAGCAATTAAGTGTCATGATTGTGACTGATTTTTTAATTTGCACTAACAAGGATGGGTCTACATGAAATCACAATTTAAATTAGTCTTCAGAGGAATACATTTGAAAACTCTTGAGCTTTTAAGTTTATTAATTTATTTATTTGGTTATAGACCTTTTGTGTTTTTTTCATATGTGAATTAATAACTATGTCCTGAATTATTATTTGTTTGTTAATAAAAAACAACATATGTTTGGTGCACAGTGCTGCATCCAACAGATTTGGGTACAGTATACATGACTGGGCGACTTCATGGTTATATATATGAAATAGCTTCAGCTTTACGCTCCTCTCCATTCCACGGCCTCCGGTGTATAAATTTAGTTGATGGTTTTCGTTTCTCTTTTTTAATTCATTGCAGTCGGATTCCTCTTTGATGCAGTTCTGTTGTCCCCCAAACAATTGAAGTGGAGACAATGGAGGCATAATGATAGATCCGTGTACCCACCATCTGTAAGAGCAGCTGCTCCCTTGCATCTGTACAATATGCTGGAGCGGGGAGCCTCAGTAATCTGCATAATAAGGAGAGGGCTTATCTCAGTCTAGTTAATAATCACAAGCAATCGATGCACTTCATTCCCTCACTCTTGACTGATGAAGAAGGCAGCAAAGTTTTGGTATGTTTGCTGTATCCTCAAGATAGGCAGGGGTCATGGCATAATGCCAAGCTGTTGATTTTGCCTGGAGCTACAGATTTAGCCTGCACTCTATTTCATCTTTTCATGAATACCATAATTACAGCAGGACACTCTGAGTTATCATACTGCTTCTCCCCTCCTCACTGCCTTGTAGGGTTTATAGCCTGTGTAGCAATGTTTGAACCTCATCAGAATTGGCTGTATGACTCAAAAGTCTGTGATAAACCCATAGCTGGCGCAGTGTAGAAGATTGGCCCCGTAAAACACCAAAAAAATTAATTGGAAATGTAACCTCCTGTCTGAAATACCTTCTTAGACACAACTGCCTCTGTGCGTGTGGCCACAACAGAGCTGTAGTCAGTTGTTTTCTGCAGGGAATCACATCTCAGCTCAAGGAAACATTTATCTCTGAAATGAGAGTAGTTTTTTTATGGCCACAAACTGGTTTGTTTGTTTGACTTTAGACGTATCAACCAATTATCATTTCAATTATCAACCACCTGATGTGGGTTGGGAGTGCCAAAATATGGCCATGAAATATAATACTTTTAATTGGGATAAGTGATTTATAAAGAACTGATTTGACTTCAAACATTTACAATACTTAATCATACATTTGCTGAACTTTGATTGAACTTTGAAAGTCAATGTTTGGCTTAAATACTTGTTGACAGTCTGGGAGTACACAATCTATCCATTGAATTGCCTTTTTGTTTTTTATCCATACATGACATTGAACGTTTCGTCATGCTATTTAATAAATGCCTCTGGGGTTTGTGAATCAGTATATTATTATTTTTCTTAAACAAACCCCAATTTATTATACTTGGTAATGGCTCCTAAGCAGACGCTAAATTGATTGGGTAGAAAGTATACTATAATATTGATCAAAAATGTCTCCCTTTGGTATTCTCTTGTTAAATATGCTCATTAAATCAAGTCTATTTAATACTCTGCAATGTGAAAGTAGAATTTCTTTGTTTAGTAGAATGTTCTTTGTTTAAAATACTGTAGGAGCAAGTTCCATCTTAGAAGAGACACAGTGCTGTTTGAGAAAAGCATATTACATATATTTTAACAGAGGCATTTTAATTTGTGGTGAAAGTGATCATTTACAATCATTAGATCCTATTTGTTTAAATATTAGTTACATAAATGAAATCCAACACTTTTTTAAATCTTACACACACTATATGAATTAATGGATTTTCATCTAGCCAGGAATATTCTTTGTATTAAAAACTGCCATCCACTTCCCATGGTTCCTGAACCTCCTAATTAAGCATGCATGATGTTTCTCTCCCAGCTGCTAGGCTTCTGAAATACACTTGGCAGGTGTATTGAGCCCCCCAGTGAGGCCCGAGCATCAGAGTGGTATACATAGAAGTGCAGGTGTGACATGTTAGGAGGAGTCCAGGTGCTTATTGAGTTATCAGAGGCAACCACTGCTCGTTTGATTTATCATCTGGGGTTTAGAGTTGCCATATCTGAGCGGCAATATATCAGACAACAAAATAAAATGTTCAGAAAATTACCCGCTGGAGCGCTGCAGTCGTGATAACTTACATCTAGCACACTGTCGGATGTAGTGTGGCACCTACTGACACTCCATGTGAAAAATAGACAATGCTTATTGAACCTGTATAGTGACAACACACACTAAATCATGAATGCAAAGCCTTTAGCCAAGCCAAAGATTCACCTTGAATTCACCCTTTAAGTGTTATGATTTGACACTGATTTGTGGTTTATGGTTTGTTTGTCTGCACTTGAACAAAGTGACGGCAGTACTACACTGGGACACAGGTCTCACTGAAAGTGCATTAAGACCAATAAAGATATGTTTGAACTAGGGCTGTGCAATTAATTGAATTATATTTTCATGATTTTGGCTTCCAACGATTATGAAAACAAGAACATTGAGATAAAGTGATTATTGTGCCGCATTCCGTTTCGCAATGACACTCCCGATTTGCCAAACTGACTTTTCTTCTACTGATAGTTTACTTAACAAAGCACATAATATTTATACTTGTTTATGCCGTTCCCAACGTTGGCTGGTCAACCTGGGGAAACACTGTGTTGCTGAGATGCCATATAAAGTTAATAATGTTGGATTACTATTTATTACTGGATTTTGGAGGCAGTGCATATATAATTTTTTTTTTTAATGAAGCATTCTGTTTTTAAAGTTCAGTAAATGCACAATGTTTCAAAGTCACTGAGTAATCGTGTTAAATTATCTGGATCTCAATATTGACCTAAATTATTGTGATTATGATTTTTGGCATAATTGAGCAGCCCTAGTTATAACATCTCATAATCTTCCTCTGTTAGAACTATGTTTTAGCTTGTCTCATCATACTACGTGCTCTTTGACATGAATGCCATGCTTACCTCTGCATTCTTGAGAGTCTTAAACTCTGAATGAGCCAGCTAGTCTCCATGAGCACATAAAAGGTACCCAGATTTATGGAGAGGTTTTTTATCCTAGACTCAAGAACCGTCTGATAAACAAGCACTCTTTGCTTGAGGCTAAATAATACTCTTTGAGGTCCTGATTTATAATGCTGTGAAGGACCCATTTGCGGTTCAGCTCTGAGGCACGCACCTCTGTGATTGGTCATCCGTGAGCTCAAAATTTGTGCTCAGATCTACAGCTCATGAGCTTGTGGATTTCTAAATGGACAAATGCATAAGTGATGGTAGGTTTTTTTATCCAGAGTTAATAGATGAAGAGAAATGAACTTTTCAAAGATGTAAAAGACTCTTATTTAACAAAATTTCCACCAATGCCCACTGATTGAAGCTAAAACTGGGGCAGCGAGCAGCCAATCCAATATTCCCGGCTTTTAAAATGGGAACTCATTGGGGTATTGGTTCACTACATGGACTCGTAAGAGATCTGAATAAAGAGAAATCCTGCGATGTTTTACCCTCACCTTCTCTATAATAAATCAGATGCACATTGCAAACGCCTAAATTTATCTCAAATTGCCTTGGTTGACAGAGGAAAGTACACGTTTCCAGTGAAAGGGACAGATGCTTAGAAATACTAATTGTAGTTTGCCCTTTTTCAAATATCTCATATTCAGCTATGTTTTCTATAACTTGAAATATAATAGACAGCTAGTATTTTTATACTATCCGCAGTCTGAATGTGATATTTGTTAATTGATTGAGCAGTAAACTCCTGTTAAATAAATTCAAGTTATGTTGCAAGCATTGGTGACATGCACAGGTTCATGTGTTTTACAAGTTTTTGGTACTTGACAGAAAGTTCTGTAGCTTGGGTATTAACGAGTTAATGAACAACTAATGATAGCATCAAGCTGCATTAATGAAATT